TTGTAAATTAAATCACGATTTCTCACCAATCAAAGAAAACAGATGACGTTTCCTCACATGGGCTTGGATTTTAGTCACGTTCTTTGCATTCCACGCATAATTCATGCGTGCGGTCAGTGTTCCCTCCGTATCAATGGTGCCGTGAAGGAAGGCCTTCGATATGCGATCGTCATGAAGAAAAAGAAGGAAAGAAAAGAAAAACAAAAAAAAAAAAATTTTTTTTGTCAATGTTCGATGCGAAGATGGCGTGTATAATACATGCGCACTGCGTAATCACCTTTTCTCCAATGTAGGCTGCCCCAAAGTTGTACATCGGCGTGGCTACTGTCGAGCCCATGGAGAATGAATGTGTGACTTGGAGATTTTGTGATAGGACTTTGGTGAGATCGGCCCTTCCACCGTCGAACAAGTAGTTTGTAATGAATGTGGCTGCATTAAACACAAAGCATAATTCTCAAAATTTTTGGTCAACTAACACCGTGTTGCTTTATTATATGTGATCGTGCGTTGATTGTTTATGTAATGTAGAGGATCTATTTTAAAAACCATTTTTACTCATTTGTCAAGGATGACTTTCTCGTACCTTTCACCTCACGATGTAGACTTTCAAAAGTGCCCGGATTGGGCAGGTTAAGTTTCTTTCGATACTCTGTTATTCCATTAAAGAGGGAACTTAGACTCCATGAACCAGACGTGGAAGCTGTTGTCTTCGTTGAAACTTTTTCACCCAAACCGGCCATGCTTTTGTACCCTGAAGATGGTCACGCGTCGTTTTTCAAAAATTCGGAAAAAAAATATCAAGTATCGTTCTCGCAAAAAATTTTTTTGATCGTTGTGCAACCACTCATATCTACCGATGATTAGTGGTACACAATGAACTGCGGTTCACACTACGCGTTCATTACTTTATTGCACACACTTTCTTGAATCACGGGACCGTGCGACAATATCAGATTTTTTTGGCATTAACCGGTGATCGGTTGCGTGAAATGGTTGGAAATGCCAAAAAGAAAACAGGTGTTTAACAATCGCGGTGACAATGAAGTATTCCAGGATGAATGGGAGGACGTCGTGCTGGCACCAAAGATCGAATTGTTACAACACGTCGGGATAAATCTTGACGAGTTGCCAAAGAATGTTTATGAATTCATCAAATTGAGTCCACACGACATTCAATTGTTGGACGAAAAGTGAGTATCTTTTGCTTTGGGATTCGTTTAACCGAGCGGTTCGTGTGTAATGTTATTCCAACACAGAGACGGAAGAGCCTTTCTACCACCTACTCGGGATCCCGTTTCCATCGTGTTGTCCAACTCGGAGTCCTTTCGAGTTTCGTCATATACGTCATATCCAATTCGTATGCCTCTCGTCAATTGATTCAATTTTTTTCGTGATTCGATTCATTACTTATCAAATTCAAACTGTTAAAATGACAATTCGAAGATGCAAGTGAACCCGAGAAAGTAGGCTACATTTTGAATGTTGGCGTATCTGTGTGGGCGACAGATTGGATCCCGCGTATCTCTTCAGAGAGTAAATTTTGATTTCAACAGTGTACTCTTTTGTTCTTTTCTTTTCTTTTCTTTTTTTTTTTTTAAAAAAAAAAAAAGAAAATGACGTGCCAAATTTCTCGAATTTACAATTCCAAACCCTTGGAATCTTAAAGATAATCAATACCTGGCCGTAGCAGGTTACAAATCCAACATCAACGAACATCATCCTATTGGTCGCAAACAAAAATCCGATTTGAATAACGCGATACAATTGTGGAAAGTAGACTGTAGAATTGAGGATTTGACCGCGGAAGGGTGCATCAATCCAAGACTGGATATGGTCATTTGCCATGAGTGTGGCTGTGTCTTTGATATGCAGTGGTGCCCGTATGGTGCCAATGATGAGGAAAGCAATGTAAGCTTGGGTTTTACACGATCCCACTGAATATACATACATATGTGAGATTTTCAAAAAAAAAAAAAAAATTCGGCAAATATTTAAAAAGACAAATTAATTAATTGACCTAAGAAGAATTGGAGGGATTGACTGGGAAAATTTTGAGTTTAGGTGATGGCGGCAAACGAAAGGTCAAATCAAGGACAGTCAATCACCATGGACGCTGTGTGTCACGATAAATAATATATATATTTATGTGTATCATGTGAAATGAAAAAAATTTCTGTGAC